TATTAAGTTATATTACAAATAATCAATAAAAATATTGAAAATTCGTAATATTTACAAAATCCCGTATTAATCCCGTATAAGATTTTCTGCATGAACCGTCTTCAGTAAAATAGCCATATCTTGAGTTCCCGATATCAGATTGATGCGATTCAAGAAACGTTGGAAAGATAAGAGACAGACAGTCGTATCTCCAGAAGACATCTTAACTAAATAAGATCAGGATCCTATTCAAAAAGTCGTCATAAGTCTGCTTCTGTTCTGATCTTCTTTTCCAATGCTTGTACTAGTGGATCATTTGGAAGAGTTATTACTTCTTCCTTTGATGTGAGCCTTGTGATGCATGTATCACCATATGAACGAGATAAAATTTTCCAAACTTCGTTGCTATTCGTTTCAACTTAAACACATCAAAATCCCAAGCGCTAAGTATGCGAGAGAACCCTATGAACGGCCCAAAGTTCAGCAATAATAACATAACAACTGCCCAAACTACAAGAAAAGCCGAGTACCTCGATTATCTCGAATCACTCTACCCGTAGCAACTTCGTCTCCTTGAATATTAACGACACCATCCGCATTAGCCTTGATCCACCCAATGGGTGGGGCACACCAAGAATAAATTGGGTAACTCGTGACAAACGGCGGCATTGAAGAATTTGACGACGACATCGAGACTCTTGCATCAACAATCGTCGACAACATTTGTTGACTCCAAGCTATAAGGTCCCCTCGATCAAGGAAGTTCTCATAAAAGAACAAACTCACATATTCTTTCCCACGGCTTCCAGCAAATGATCGGAAAGAGGGATGACCGAGTACTAGCACTAATCCACAGCTATAGACTTTTAATGAATAGATAAATGTAATTTTTATGAAGAAAAATTTTAGCCATACCCCTTAATTAATCGGAGGCTTATATGTGGACTTGCTCTTTGCCATATGCTATGTACTAATTTCTATTCCATAAAAACATTTGTTTGTGTTAATTATTCCATATTTAAGATATTTGAAACTTTGTTTGCAGTCGTATAATGGCAAGATTTAACCAACTAATTTTATCTAAAGAATTTAATATCTGATCTGACTAAATCATATTCTTTATTTTTTTTTATATTTTATTTAAAATTTAAAATTTAAAATATTCAAATGTATTCCAATTTATAGCCTCTGAAAAATATAGCCTCTAGGGATAATAGTCACTGCTTTAATCAATGGTGTGCTCAAATATTCTATGTTGTTAAATATATCAACATTTTTATGCAAATAGAGCCTCTAGTTATATTAAAAAAAATTAAAATTACAATTAATTTCGTAAATTAAACACACAATTAGAATATTTTCCTCGAATCACTAATACAATAAATTAATCACTCGAGATCATTCAAGGGTCATGCTAGGAAAAAGTTAAAACACATTCAATAAACTCGAACAAAATATAGATATGAATAAATTTGACTACATCGACAAACGAACCGCAACATAGGATTAATCTACTGAAATACTACCGTCAACTGCAAATTAAAATAGAGCGTCGTGATAGAATTATCTACGAATGCAATCCGCTTATCAAAGTCCAATCTGAGGGTCTAATACAAAAAAGATCATCAATATAATATATAAACATCATTTTGATCAATCATAACACATGAAATCTATTTCTAAAAATTAAACGAAAAGAACCACCCGAAAACTACAAACTAATAGCAGAGTTTGGTGTCATGTCCCACAGAGTCCTAATAGCAGATACATGCACCACCCCCAAATCACCGTAGTCTTCCCTCCCTCAATTTTTCAGATACATGCACCACCCCCAATGACATCCTGATAGCAGAGTTTCGTGTCATGTCCCACAGAGTCCTACCACATGCCCATTGAAGCATTCTCATTTTTGCGGCCTCCATCCTCCTTATGTGATCCTTCTTGATTGCCCAACATTCTGATCCATACAGCAGCGCTGGTCTTATTGCCATTCTATAAAATTTTCCCTTAAGTTTTAAAGGCACTTTCTTGTCACACAAAACTCCGGTAGCAGCCCTCCAATTTAGTCATCCCGCCTTTATACGATGTGTAACGTCATCATCCATACCCCCATCTTTATGTATCATAGACCCTAGGTACTTGAAACAATCCTTTGAGGGGAAAACGTGTCCTTCTATGCATACCTCTACATCTTCATCATTTTGGTTCCCACTGAAGTTTGAACATAAATATTATGTCTTTGCATTATTGATCCTTAGACCTTTTTCTTCCAAAGCAGTCTTCCAAGTAGCCAGTCTACTATTTAGCTCAGTTCTTGTTTCAGCAACTAGGACAATGTCGTCAGCGAAAAGCATACACCATGGAACACCGTCTGGTGTTGCACAATAGATGTCGTCCATAATCAAGGCGAAGATGTAAGGGCTAAGAGCCCACCCCTGGTGGAGTCCGATTTCCACCGGGAATGCCTTGGTGTCTCTAACTGTAGTTCTGACGTATGTAGTAGATCTACAGTACATATCACGAATTGCCTGAATATAAGCAGTTGGGATCTGTCTCGTTTCCAATGTCTTACAGATTGTATCGCGGGGAACGCTATCATACGCTTTTTCAAGATCAATGAACGCCATGTGAAGATCTCTATTTTCCCCTATATTTCTCCATAAGCCGTCGAAGTAAATGAATTGCCTCCGTAGTAGACTTGCCTGACATAAAGCCAAATTGATTTTCCGAAACCCTAGTAACCTGTCTTAACTGATACAATGTATGAAAAAAATAATTAAATTAAAAAAAATGATCTGATTGGAAAATAAAAACCATATCTACAACTTACCTTTGGTAAAACAAATAATAACTGAATTCGACTTAACATATTTACGTACTCTACTATTTTTGGCTCAAAATTAAATATAAAAATATACAAAGACGATAAATAGTCATTATGAAAACGTGGATTGAATTTATAATAGTATAAGAAATTAAGAACTAATATCAGGGTTTGAGACAAACACTATTTTGGTGGAATATGTTATATATAATCGATTAAAATAAGAAAATAATTACTAATTATCCGTTAATTTAGTAAGATAAAATGTTAAATATTTTAAATAAGATTGATTATTAAGTATGAATCAAATGACTTCAATAATCATGAAATTAATATTATTTCTTTGGATTGTGAATCCAAACATATTAATAGTGTTTGAACAAATATTACATTATATTCATCTCGTACTAATAAAGATAAAATTAAATATTAATTTTTTTGTGTAAATAAATTAAAATATTAATTTTAATAATAATTATCTATAATATTCAATATAAATTAATAATTAAATAAATTAACTCTTAATAATAATTAATTCAAAATAAGACATAAAAGAAAGGTAGGGAATATAGCATTTGACATGCCTACAGAAGTTTAGTCAATGGATCAATCATTTTACTGTAAATCTAGAAAAGCTTAGAGAGGTCTGAGGTTTGAAAATATAAAATATTCTATAAAATTCAACACCTTTTTTTATTTTTTTATTAAGTATAATAATTTAAGATAATATCTTATAAAGACATAAATTAAATATATAATAACATAAACATATAAGAATATTTTTTTGGGATTATAAATGATATTATATGTTCTAGAGATTTTCAATAACTTGATAACAATGTTTCAAATATCCTGTAATCATTAATGTTCGAACTCATAATCTTTAAAAATAATAATTATCATTTTGATCACTAAAAACATTTAGTTCGTATATGAATATTTTAAAATTTTATATAACGTATGAATTTATTTGAGGTATAGAGTATGGATATGGCATGAGTGGTATCATATAGTGGTCCTGAGTTTAAGATAAAATGAAATTAATTTTATTTTTAAATTAATTAGATAAAGTACATAAAAAATATTTAATGATGTTAAATGGATAATTTTAATTATTAAAAATTATAAAATAATATTAAATGGTTAGAAAATTATCATTAACATTATATATTTTTTTGAAAATTACACTTATTATAATATTATAATAATCATTTTTATAACAATTTAATAAATTAATGATATTTTATAATTTTAAAACTTAATAATTAATTAATTAATCATTTAAGCCTAATCAATGACGTATACTATAATTTTCTTAAATCTCCTCAAATCTACTTCAAGCTAGGTCCTCCAAGGATCCAAAAACATCTTTGAATCTCTAATCTTTTTGCACCTTAAATTTTTCCTGGAACTCAGAAATATTAGTTCTACACATAGAGTTTTTATAACCTTACATCTTGAGAAATCGTAACTATTCAACAGGGAAAGCTCACTTGAATTACTTAAATAAAATCTATTGTCAATCAATTATATTAATCTAATATATTAATTTACATGTAATTATAATAATTTTATATCAAATAAAAATACTAAAAGTCACTATAAAATATATCGCTCAATCTAAAAAAAGAATTTGAAACCTTTTTTCTTGATTATCTCTCTTCTACTTCCTCATAGAGATAAAAAAAAACTTTGATGGTGGTCGCTGGTCAACTTACATTTCTCCACTAACAATAATTCTTCGTTTAAATAAAAAAATCAATTATAATCATCATAAACCATTCGTTCATATAACAACATTTAAAATATTTTTTTATTACATTAGACTATCAAAATAAATTACTAATAATTTATTTAAATTTGGAATATTTAAAAATTTTGGATATTAAATATTCCCAATAAAAGAGATATTAATTTAATTTTACAGAGCTGAGAAAAAAACAAAGGAAAAGACAGAAAAAACAACGTCAGAGTTGGCCAGCGTGGGGGTGGTTCTTGTCTTTTATTGGACTGCTTGCAGGATTCCATTACAAGCCCCATCATCATCTTCTTCTTCATCTCATCCACATCTCTCTCTCTTCCTCTCTATCTAAGTTTTTTTTTTATTTATCATTTCTTCTTTATCTGTTCATATATATATGTGTGTGTTATTATTGTATATTTCTTCCTTGGGTATCGGTAAATATCAAAGATTTTATTGAAAAACTGCTATCATGAAGCTCAAAAGTGATGAAATGAAAGATTACATATTCCACCACCAACAGAAACAAGTTTTGGGAGATAACAGGTCTAATTTGACATCCGCTGCATCAGGCGAAGCAAATGTTTCTTCAAGGAATTGTGCCGGTGGTGGCACCACCAACCAACTAGCTCAACCTCCGCCGGCTAAGAGAAAGAGAAACCAACCAGGCAACCCAGGTTTGTGTTCAAATTCCCAAAACCTATTTAAAAGCACACCATTAGTTTACTTTTATTACATGTTGTGTTGGCTTCATGAACCAGACCCAGATGCAGAAGTGATAGCTATGTCCCCTAAAACACTGATGGCAAGGAACAGATTTGTGTGTGACATATGTAACAAAGGGTTCCAAAGAGACCAGAACCTCCAGCTTCATAGGAGAGGCCATAACCTGCCATGGAAGTTAAAGCAAAAAACAAGTAAGGAAGTGAAGAAGAAGGTGTATGTATGTCCTGAACCCAGCTGTGTTCATCATGACCCGTCGAGGGCACTTGGTGACTTGACCGGAATCAAGAAGCATTTCTCGAGGAAACATGGCGAGAAGAAGTGGCATTGTGAAAAATGCTCCAAGAAATACGCTGTTCGATCGGACTGGAAAGCTCATTCCAAGACTTGTGGCACTAGGGAATATAGATGCGACTGCGGTACACTCTTCTCAAGGTAAAACAAAAACTCGATTATTCGTTTTGATCGATAACACGCACACATACTTCAGGCGATACCGGTTAAATCAGAAAACTTTTCTTTTTTACAGGAGGGATAGTTTCATTACTCATAGGGCATTTTGTGATGCATTAGCAGAGAATTCAAGAGCAATCATGGGAGAATCTCATTTACAAGTAGCTCAATTCAATCCCCAAGACATGCAACAACAAGCGTTTTTGTTCAAGAAAGAACAACAAAGTTTCACCAATGTTCCACCATGGCTAGGGGGTCTTTCTTCATCATCATCTTCCTCAATATTCTCCCCTACTTTTAATGGAAACACTACTCTTCCTCTTTACCAGCAAACACCAGTGGTTTCCCCTCACATGTCAGCCACTGCATTGCTTCAGCAAGCGGGTCAGATAGGCACAACCGTGAGCGGCGAGGCCGGAGCTAGTACTATGAGAGTACTACCCCACCAATAAACTCACGTGTCTGCTGGTTTTTCTGGCAGTAACAACATAACAGCTGTTTTTGGTCTCAACTAGTCTTCACGTGATGGATTCATCCATGGTGCTCCTCCTAATCCATGTGAAGATGACCATCATCATCATCATAATCATGCAGCTGCAGCAACCACGGGTGCTCCTCTTCATCACCCGTCACTTCTTCTTCAAGACATGATGAATTCTCCAACAGACGCTTCCTTTGATGATATTGCATTTACTGGGATTTTGAACTCAAAGAACCAAAACGACGCCGGAAATAACGATCACCATGAAATTACTGCCATTGGTACTCAAGGTCAAGGCTTCACAAGAGATTTCCTGCGTCTTAAAGCTTTCTCCCATGGTGATTTTCTCAACATTGAAGTTGCCAGCAACTCCATCAACACTTCCCAGTCTCAAAAACCATGGAAAGTTTTGGTAGTATCGAAACACTTTTCAAATACATTTTTATCTTAGATTTTATGTTAATCTCCTACATTTGCTACAATCTTTCCAAAAATAAAGGACTGATCTCCAAATAATCATTTTCCATTTATATATGTACTACTCCATGTTACAAATTTTGTTCTTGTTGGTATATTGTTTTATATACACACATATAAAATAAAACCTAACATGCAAGTATAATGTGATTAATTAATATTAATTGATTTTATGATATATGAAATTAAAAGATTAATCTTTTAATGTAATCATATATTTGATTTGTAGGGTTTTTAATTTTTCAATTCGTCACCTCGACCTGTTGCTTGTTTTTAGGAAAGGGAAATCAACGTAAATTATTTAAATTAAGGGTGAGCTATTTTTTTCATCACCCAACTTTTCTCATATTCTTTTTTAGTCTCTCAATATTAAAAAAAATTGATCATTGAACTCTTTATCCTTATGTTACATTGGCTTAAGAAATGTCATTTTTCGAAGTCTTCTCCAACAACTCAAGATAATGATGAACTCATCTCAACATCCCCTGCCACCATCAATTTAGATTTTTTTTAAAAATCTCTTTAAGACTCGTGAAACTCAATCCAAAACCTAGAGAAAAATGATTTTGATCTACTTTTTCCATTGTTCGATCAACGTGAAATCAATATATATATATATATATCTCCTCCTCCATCACTGAATCACTAAGATTTGGAAGAAGATGCTCAAAAATTAAAAAAATCAAGGGATCTGAAAAAATAGGTTTTTAGGAAGATTTCAAGATTTCTTCTCAAAAATTGAAGAGAGCTTTTGAGTCTTTTCATGATTAAACAAAAACAAAAACTTTGTCAAAATGTCTTTAATTATTTAACTACAGAATGATCAAAACATAAACGAGTTAAAAGTTGAGTGATTAAGTTAAAAGGATCTAAAGTTCAGTTACCAAAACAAGAACATATGCAAAATTGAATGATGAAACAGCACAGTTTACGCTTAAATTAAAGCTGAACTTTAATGTCAATCGGTTGGTTTTAAATTTTGTTTTATTTGATAGCGTAGCAGGAAGGCTACCCATTTTTATGATTATTTAACGATTAATTAGGATGTAAATCTGATAGATTCAATGAAGCTCAGTTAAACAACCGAATAATTTATTAAGAGGGAGAAATTGATTTTTTGAGTATAGCGAGTAAGGAGTATAAAAATTAAGACAATTTGCACAATGATTTATAATGGTTCGACTTCTCAACCAAGTCTATATCCACTACCAAAGCTCATCACTTAAGATTTTCTAACAAATTCACTAATTTGTTCTTTCTTTTTCCAGAACAAAGAGATATCATTTACAACTCCATAACATTTCAAAGGCTAAGCTAGAACGAATCCCCTTTACAAAAGGTTAAAAGAAGTAAAAAAGAAAACCTCTCAAAAGGAAGGCGTTTACAAAGATCAAGCTCACAAGAAAAACAATTAAAAAAATTTGCAATGAGCTCAAATACATACGTACAATAGAAAAGAAAAAATAAAGAGTGAAAAAGTTTTTCTCTTGATCTCTATTGCTTGGATAGGTGTTGTAACCTTCTTCAAGTGTCCTCAACTTGTTTTTATATGTTGGGATGAGTTTGTGGCCGTTTCTAGCCGTTGAGGATTAATTTCTATAAAATAAAACTGCCCATGACAGGGAGCACCAATACTCCTTTAGTGAATATCGATACTACCTTTGTAATATTTAAATAAACTAGCCAGTAAAGACTGTTGGGCTTGACCAATATCGATATTATGATTCATGGTATCGATACCACTGTGTAAAGTAGTATCAGTACCCCTTGAGTATCGATACCTATTTTGCATTTTGGAATTTGAGCAATTTGGAAAACATCTGGTAGTATCGATACTACCTAGAGAGTATTGATATTTCTCCGATATTGTTCATGTAGTAGCAATACTGTAATAACAATATCGATATTACGTACTCAGAAAACTGTTTTGTGCTCAAATTCTAGTTTAATGGACTTTGAATTTTTTTTGAAAACTTTGAACAAATTCAATCAAGTCCAAATTTTTTCCCCTTAATTTGTTTTATCAAAATATTAAAAAACATAGTTCAACAATCTCCCCCTTTTTGATATAACAAAACATTTAAAAAATTGTTTTGGCAAAACTCCCCCTTAATAAAATATTTTATGAAAAAGATAAATATTTGGAAAATATTAAAGCTCTTTCATTCTTGAAATTGAATTTTTTCAAACTCATACTATTGTTCATGCAAGCTTCAAAACTCAACTTGGAAACTAGAATGCATATCTAATGACCATTCATGGTATATAAGAGTTGTAAATGTATTACCTTTAGCCCCTAGCTGCTAGAAACTCTTTCAAATCATCCAAGGTGCAACATTTACTTCCCTTTAACCTTGTAGCCTTCTCCTACCTCTTGAGCTAATCAACAAGAATTAAGTGAGTTACTAACTTATTCTAGAAGCTTGGATTGAAGTTATAAACACTTCAAAAAACTTAAATCTACAAGAAACGGGTTGGAAAATTTGATTCTCAAAAAACCCCCACTAAACCCACTTTTGGTTTCTATGGCCAAACCTTACACTTAGGGGCTCACTTTGAAGATTGGAAGATGGAGGTTATGATTCTTACCTTGGAATTTCAGAATTGAGCTTGAAAAACACTAAAGCTTCAACCTTTGTTCTAATTTCTTAGAAAGGAAGTGAAGAAGGAAGGAGAAGAAAGAAGACAAAGTAAAATGGTGAATAAGGGTATAAAAAAAAGACGTGAGATCATCTTCAATTTAGGGGATTCAACTTTTATTTTTAACTTGGGTATAATTGCTCTTTTGGTCATTTCAATTTCTTACTAAGGTTAAATATACCTTTTTTTTTATCTCAAGTTAGGCTTGAACGAAGCTCAAACCCACTCAATTTTGGGCCAACGCTTCCTACAAGCTAACTTGTTTAATCAAAGGCCTTAACCGAAACTCCTAACTCGAAATTCAGGGCGTTACACAACTGGCTTTGATGAGTGAGTCTTCCAGCAGAGATTTTATGCATACACAATGACTCGAACTTGAGACCTTACTTAAGCAAAATCAAGTTGCTTACCACTTGAATCAACCCCTGTTGGTTAATAAGATTTTTTTAATCTTAATTAACTAGTTATATTTTAAATTCTTTCTAGAATGCTAAAATATGAAATGATTTTTTAAAATCTAAGCTGTCAATTTAAATTAAAAAAATGAATATAGGTCTAATTTGTTTAATTTCAAAAGGGAAAACTACTTTTTCAGTCACTCAATTTCACCACTAAACTTTTAAATTTTGAGAATTTTTTTTTATTTTTGAGTAAATTTATGCAAAAATATTTTAAAGCATTTCTCTCAAACCCATATTTTTAACTCTCTTATTGACATATTTTGTTCTAAATCTGAACGATAAAGAGATTGAGAAAAAGAAAAAATACATCTCAATTTCACGTTGATCAAATAAATAAAGCTTTAATCTAAATTTTATCAATTTCGAAAAAAGTAAACTAAAATAAAAAATGTGAGAAAAATAGATCATTTTAGTACCAATTACATCACAAACGATGACGGAAAGATGATTATCAAGATGGCATAAAATTAACTCTTATGATGACAATGAACCTCCTTTTAACTATATCCTCATTCCCAAACTTCTTCTCATTATGTCTTTCGGATGGTATTTCATAACCATGCTTAACATCATCATCATTCTTCGTCGTCAAAATGTATTACTTCCTTGTCACATTTCATAAAGTTGTGCTCAATGTTTAACGATGACAATGTCGTTGTGGATTCTTGTATGTGTTGTGAGTAATCATAGTTTTCATGCAACTGACGTTTGATAGTTATCCTTCACCATAAATAGGTCGTCTTGAGGTTTTTGAACATAGTAATACTAGTTCGAGTTACAAGTATTCAATGGACCATAAGGATTGAATAAGTCGTCTTGTTGTTGCTGTTCTCAGGAGACCATTTCTCCCAAGTCACAACAACAACAACAAGACGATTTGTTCTCGACATATGACTAGTTGATTTAGCCAAAGTAATCCATAATAAGGTTGTTTAAATAACATTATTAGAAAATCGAAAACTTAAATCTTTGATTATTTCTCAAAGATTTCTTATCATTGATTCATCCGATTAAAACTAAACATGATAAAAAAATCAAATTCATCTATCGAATTAATCGAATACTAAATTCAAAATTAATAGTATATTGGATTGATATAATAGGTTAAACATATATCTCATCCATTCTACTTGAGTCACCGAACCAACATTATTCTTTTTTTCTTCTTTTTTCTCGTTGGTTCATGTAGGAAAACAAAGGAAAACACCCAAACTTCATGTTCATGTTTTGGTTATTATTTTTTAAAAATTTCAGTACTAAAATTTTTAGGGTAATTTATTCTAAATTCGAACTGTGAAGAGGTTAAAAAAGAGAACAAAAAATAAATTTCGATTTTACATTTATCAAACGATGGAGATCAAACCAGTGGTGAATTCAAAAAAAATTTATAGGTTGTGCCAATATAAACATTATAAAATTTTTATCTAAATATATATATGAATTAAATGTAGAAAAAATATATTAATTGGACCAATATAAATTTCTTAACATAATTCATATATATTTCTTATTGAGGGTAAACTAACTATATGGTCATCCACCTATTTCTTAACTTATGTTTTGGTTACCAAGTTATTATTTTTTCAAAATCATAGCTAACCTTATGATTTGATTCTGTTTTAATCACTTATCACCGCTAATTTCTTAAAGACGAGAGACCAAAATATAACTAAATATAACATTAAATGTGATTTAAAATAAATAATAATTAAGTGACCAAAATAGAAACTAAATAATAAATGGGTGACTTAATGAATAATTTACTCATAGGGGGCCATAGCCTAGATACGCCCCTGGATCATACGAAGATAAGGTTGGAAAAAAAAACTATTTGAAATAACAATAACAAGAAGAATAAAAACGAAAGTGATCAATATCATGTATTTTTTTTTGCTCGACAAATTATTTATTAATCAAGCCTACATTAAGAGTATCGTTAAAAACTCTCCTAGACTTAAAATAGAGGAAAAGAATACTCT